ACCCATTAGAAAGGGGAATCTAGTAGACATATTTCAACAATGTTCCCCTCAATGTTGGTAAATAAGAGAAAATCATTTCTGTATGTGATGAAATGTTCCTCTGTTCATGAGCACTAATTGACCTGCTTTCCCCAGTCAGCAGATACTAATAGGAATTAATATCCCATCCACTGCAAACGAAATCAAAGGTCCTGTGTTGTGTGCACATTTGTGTGCAGATGTAAATGCATGTGCAAGCATATACATGTAGAGGCCAAAGGACAAACTCAGGTGGTGTTTCTGAGATACTGGCCCCCTGGTACCTGACCTGGAGCTTGACAAGCCCCAGGGATCTGCCCATCGCTGCCTTCCCAGTGCTGGGATTGACAACGTGTGACACCGGCCCTAGCTCTTTTATATGGATTCTCAGGACTGAATTCAGGTCTTCACAACTGCATGGCTGGCACTTTACCAACTGACAGGAAGCAGCTGTCTTGTTAAGAGAAGCCAACTTTGTCATTAAGGGCCCAATCAACATGGGGAACACAACAGTTTTCAGATCGTAGGCCAGTGAAATGCCTCAGTGTTTGGTAACTGCACTTATGAGAAGCCTGATGGCCTGCATTTGATCGTCTGACCGCCTGTAAGGGTGGAAAGAGAACCAACTGCACAAAGTTCTCTTGACTAACACACATACAATTTGTTAAAAGACTTATTATTCTTCTCTGTATGTGAGCATGCCTTTGTGAGTTCATGTGCCACCATGTGTATGCAGGAGTCTGAGGAGCCAAAGACTAGGTCAGAACCCCTGAACTGAATTGTGTGCAGTTGTAATCCACCATGTAGTACTGGAAATAAAACCTAGGTCCTCTACAGGAGTGGGAAGCCCCATTGAGACATCTCTCCAGCCCCCGTAATCTTTATTTCTAAATTGCTGATCCTGAAAGGCTGAAATTTTTCTAGAACCTAGGTAACTTCTTGACAGTCATAGATACTTAAGTACTAAACTAAATATACTTTGATTTTTAAGTATGTATCACCTTTATTAAGCTCTTTATAGCTCATAGAATACAGCATAGACTTCAACTTAAATGCAGCATAAAAAATAGTAACAGCAATACTAAGAGTAACAGCTGACATTTCTAGAGGGTTCACTATGTACATGGCACTTACTATGAAACCCAGGCTAGGCTCTAAACTTACTATGAGGCCCAGGCTGGCAATCCTCTTGCCTGCCTCAGCCTCCCAAGTGCTGAGAATACTGATGTGAACACTTCCATGTTAACTGGAAATCCCTAGTTTTCTAGTTATAAGTATAGATCCTGTGAAGTTGTCATTCATTACTCTGTACTCTGTAAGTTAATTAATCTCATTAATAAAAGTTTAAGGTAGGACTAGAGAGATGTCTCAGTGGTTAACAGCATTACTGCTCTTCCAGAGGACCAGAATTCACTTCCCAATACCCACAGGGGGTGGCTTACAGCCACTTGTAACTCCAGTTAAGGGTCTGATGTCTCTTCTGGTCTCAAGAAGCACCCACACACATGTGGCACACATAGACATGCATACAAAAAATAAAAATAAAGTTTTTCTTACAAAAAAATTTTAGTAGTCGAAATTAAATTTTAAATTTTAACCTCTTAGGATTTCCTCCCTATTTCTTTTCAAATTTATGAAGTTAGTATATGCAACTGACTGCTACACTCTAAATTCCTTTTTTCTCTTTCCAGCTTGAGATTATGAAGGAAAAGAAAGCCAGCCAGAGAGCCAGCTGTGGGGGAACATGCCCAGTAAGCAGAAGGCAGAGGCAGGAGGGTCACTACAAGCTCAAGGCCATCCTGGTCTAGCTATCGAGTTCCAGGTCAGGAATGGTAAGATCCTGTGCAAAAGGAGGGCAGGCAAAGTCTCATCAAGTAGTCTTTTACACACTAGCAAAGTTCTGTTTCTTTTTCTCATTTTTACTTCATTTAATGTTTTGCATGGATGAAGGTCAGGAGACATCTTTCAGGAGTCAGCTGTCTCCTTCCACCATGAGTTTCAGGTCACCAGGCTTAGTGGCAAGCATTTTCATTGGCTGAGCAATACACTGGCACTTTTTCTTTACATGGTACCAGCTGTAGAAGTATATCCAACTTATAAAACTTCACCAAGCTATGTGCTTTTCTGTACACATATATATGTCAAAGAAAACATGTTACTTGAAAACATGTTTCAAAGGTGGGTGTGCTGGCATATGCTTATGATCTCACCACTCTGAAAGTAGAGGCAGGAAGATCATTAATTAGTTCAAGGACAGCCTGGGCTACATAGTAATACAGGGAAACCCTGTCTTAAACGTCATTTCTTTTTTGTTTGTTTGTTTTGTTTTTCTAGACAGGATTTCTCTGTGTAGCCTTGGCTATCCTAAAACTAGCTCTGTAGACCATACTTGCCTTGAACTCACAAAGATCCACCTACCTCTGCCTCCCAGAGTGCTGGGATTACAGGTGTACGCCACCGCGCCTGGCTATATATATATATATTTTTTTAAGTCATCATTTTAAAAGGTTATTTTAATCAGCATATATTCTATCATAGGAAGTAATGTCCAATTTCTATTCTTACTATATGAGAGAAAAGAACCATCTAAAATAATCTATATAATCAGAAAGTGCTGTTTCTTCCACAAACCTCCAAGACTGAAAGCTCTCACAGGACAGGGCACACTGTTTAAGTTCTGTATGCGCACTCCATTTTCAGTCACCTTCATCCTAGAATCTGACAGACTGCACCAAAAGATAATGGCTGTATCTACCTGTCCCCATACCAATACTATCCATAGAACCTAAGGCTTCAGAGATGATCACTTCTCCTTCTCTAAACCAGAGATGCTCACTGGGTAAGAGCACCTGCCACCAAGCCTGGTGACCTGAATCCAACTCCTGGAAACCATGTGGAAAGAGAACAAACTCCTGCTGGTTGTTGACTTCTGACCTCCATGTGGATTCACACCCAGACATACACATACAATAAATAAATACATAAAAACATAACAGGCTATAGAGACTTACACTAGCCTTGAGCAGGAAAATGTGACAGAACTGACCTGTGCAACCCACATGGCAGATGTGCTTCCTCCTGGCTTGGTCTCCTTTGGGATACTCATCTTGAAATCAGTCACCAGATTATGAACTGCTGTCCTGCACACATGCTCAGAGACACCTCCATTCAACAGAGGATATGAACTACCAGGCCTGATGATCAAACCCCTTCTAGATGGTTCTAAACGCTGTATTCAAGCCTTCCAGCTAGATCCCATATAGCATGGAGCAGAGCAAGCCAACCCACTATGCCTCACTGGTCTCCTGAACCACAGAAGCCACAAAACCAAAACTGTCAACTGTTGAAGCTTCTGCACTTCTAAAGTAACTCATACGGTAACAACAGATAAGAGAAGCACTTGATGAAATAGGCGTAAGGAGGGCTCCATGCTTTTGAGAGGCAAAGCCAGAACTGTAAGCATAGGGACTGCATTAAGATTTATGCAGAATTACCCACGAGTCCAAATAAGGGATCTCCGCTGCAAGTCCCAGAAGTACAAACACCCAAAAAGAATGCCTCACAGAGCATGGTGTATTTTACCAGCCAGCTTGAAATCCCAGCAGCATCTTTTGGTAGCCCAAGCTAGCCTCCAACTCACTATGAGCCCAAAGACAACCTTAAATTTTTGATCCTTTTGACTCCATGTCCTGAGTGCTGGGATCACAGGTGTCCCATGACCCCTTTATGTGGTACTGAGCATTCAACACAGGGTCCTGTGTGTGCAAGGCACCCTACCAACTGAGCTACACCCCAGACTCCCAGTATGTTTTACACAACTATACCTTTAACATGCCATTAGCAACATAACCCATGATCCTTATCACTGGAGATACTTAAGAAATAGCACCACTATCAATAACAATAAGCATTTGCACAACACTTTATAAAACACTTAACCAACCACTAATAACTACAAAACAAGGAGGAAAAACAAAACAAAACAAACTAGCTACTTTAACGGCTATAGAAGGATTCAATTCAGAGTCTCTGACTCCAAGTTCAGCACTCATTAGAACTCAAATCCAAAGCCCACCATGAAGTGCCATAGCCATACCATCACAGTTTTTACAGAGTTTTTACTTTGTATGATACACCAGAGCAGAAAGTTTCCCTGTCGTGACTTCTCCAAGTCCAGGGTCAGCACAAAAAGCATCCCATACAGATGATCCAATAAAACCCTTCTTTCCTACTTTACCCAACTTACCTCCTGCTCAAAATTCTCAAAAAATGCATAACAAAAATTACACGCCAGAGATAGATGTGGTAGCATACACCTATAATCCCAGCACTTGGAAACTGGTAGCAGAAAACTGTAAGCTCAAGGCCAGCCTGGGCTATAATTTAAATCTCTTGTCTACTTCCCAGGATTTCTATAATCTGAGTCTTGCTTTGTTGATCTAATTAATGTCACTCCACTTTTCTTTTCTTTTCTTTTTTTTTTTGAGAAAAATATAATTAATCTCATCATTCTTTTCCCAATCACTTTCTCCCTCTTTCCCTTTTGTTCAAACATTTGCTCAGATCCACAACTGAGGCTGAAATGTGCATTCTCAGCCTGACAGAATCAGGATGTCCTGATTCTAATGCACAGTAAGTAAGTTAGTGGTCTCCAGCCTCCCTGCATTAGAGGGCTGCAGGAAAGGTAGCAATTGGGAACTGCCTAAGTAAAAAGCCACGGTGCTCTGGCTCCCCTTCTGCCCTCTTCTGCCACCCACCTGCTTGAAGCCTGCCTCAATCACCTCAGCCCTTAGTGCCCGCACTTCTCTGAGTTTCCACTGTCCTCCAGGCTCTGTCTGCAACACTCCTGACCTTCCCTCACTCTTCATCTTCAGCCTGAGGACAGCCTCCTGGTAAGCAGCCATGTGTCTACAGGAAGCACCCCAGGTTTGTCCAGTAGCCACTTATGATTTCAGTGAACACAATATTGTTTCATAACTTACCGGGCATCTCCTTTGGAAAGATTTGTATTTACAGGATTCAGAATAACTTTGTTTGCATCAACATCCACCACACATTTGGTATGTAAGTCAATTTCTGCAGAAAAAAAGAAAAGAAAAGCTATCATGTTTAAGAAATCTGTAATGGGGGGGGGAGTATTAAACAGAAATCCCACAGTGTTCTGTGAGCCATATACTAAGAACAAAAGGGAACTTTCTCAGTCTAATAAAGCTAGCCTCATACTTGACGGTGAGGGACTAGACAACTTAGCCTCCAACCAGAACAAGGATGTTTACTGCTCAAATTTTACTCAACAGTGCACCAGACATTCTAGTCAGGGCAGTCGGGCAAGAAAAACTAATACAGACATCCAGACTGGGAAGGAAGGTGCGAATTCTCTATTTGCAGATGGTTTCACCTCGAGTCCTGTGAGACCCACTAAAATAAGACCAAACTATGTGTGTGTGTACTTTTAAACACAGAAGCATCTGTTGTGTGTCTATACAGCAGCAATGGAAATATGAAAATTTTTTTTAAAAAAATGTACTTATAATAGCATCAAAAATTTTAAATTAGGAATAAATTAAAGAGAAATTCATGAATCTCTGTGAGTTCAATGCCAACCTGGTCTACAAAGCAAGTCCAGGACAGCCAAGCCTACACAGAAAAACCCTGTCTTAAAAAAAAAAGAGAGAGAGAGAGAGAAAGAAAGAAATGAATTCAGTGTTTGTATACTGAAAACTCCAAAACACAGTTGAAAAGAGTTAAAGACTTAAATAAATGGAAAGACATTCTGTGTTCTCAAGCAAAATCCTCACACTGCTAAGACAGCAATAACTCCCCAAGCACAAGGTTCACGGCAGGGACTGGGGCTATAGCTCAGTGGTGAGAGCTCAGGAAGCCAAATCCCTAGATCCTCAGCAACATGGGCAGGGGTCCCAACTAGGGGACACAGAGAAAAGACCACACAGAAAACCGGGGGGAAAAAAAAGTTTTCCAATGGCATCTATAAACTAAGGGACCTGCGTAAGAATATACAGAAAACTCTTAGCTGCGCATGGAGGTGCAGGCCTGTAATCCATCCAGTATTTAGGAAGTAGAGGCAGAAGGATCAGGAGGTCAAGATGACTCTCAGATGTTTAGAGATGTTGAGACCAGCCTAGGCTAGAAATATTGTCTCAAACAACAACAACAAAAAGTCTTACACTTCAACAATAAAAATGATGAATACTCCAATTTTCAAATGGGCAAAGAATACACACCTCTCAAAACAGATACAAAAAATGCCCAGTGAACACAGGAAGGCATGCAGCATCACTGCACAGAAAGGCAAAGAAAGACACCACAGAAAGGCAAAGCAAACCACAGTATGCCCCCTCACACCCACTTAGAGAACAGTAATCAACAAGACAAAAACAAAGGTTGGCAAGGATATGCAGAAGGCACATGACTAGCATGGAAGTAGAGTAGTCACTTGGGAAAACAGTTCAATAGTTCCTAAAAGGGCTAAGCAGGGTCAACTCTACTTCTAAATACTGGTCCAAGAGAAACAGACACCTGCGTCCACACAAGAATAACTAGACAAAATGTAGAGGGAAGTGTATTCTGCATAAAGGATAAAAAGAAACAACCCCAACATCAAGCAAAACACAGATAATGTGAATCGCCACAGAATGGAACGTTATTCAATAATTAAAATGAATGGGGCTGGTGAGGTGGCTCAGCAGGAAAAGGGCTTGATGGGCAAGCCTGATGACCTGCATTCCACCCTTGGAACAGCCCACAGTGGAAGGAAAGAATCAACTCCACAAAGCTGTCCCCTGATTCCCACATGCGCAGGTTAGTACACACAACGGTAAGTTTTAAATAATAAACTTATAAGTAATAAAATAAAATGACCGAACTACTGATAAAAGCCACTACTTGGCTGAGGTTTACACTGAGCTAAAAAAGACGGTCAAAGGCCAATGAGGTAGCTCAATAGATAAAGGCACGCAGTGAAAGCCTGCAACCTAGGTTCTACCCCTGTTATCCATGTAAAGGTGGAAGGAGAGAACCAGTCTGACCTCCACACATATGCTATGACATGCACACACCTGCACACACGCATCATACACACACACAACAACAATTCAAAAATTTTTAATAAATACTCATAAAGGATCATAGTATGAGATTCCACTTAATCTAAACACCTAAGCGGAGAACTTGTGCAAACAAAGAATAGATGATGGCTGCCTGGTGCAAAGGAACGCCTAATACAGGTTTAGATTTCTTCTGAGGGTGACAAAATTGGTTTGTGAGTGTACAGCTGAGCTAACTACAAACCCAAAGTTGGCTACATTGTCTTGATGGGAATTTCGTCTGAACACGGCTGTTTAAAAATAATAGTCTGCCTCGTGTTTATGCGCTCTCATTTTTATATTCTTCTATTTGCCTGACTCAAAGAATAAAACTGCTTCAGCCTGCCTTGTTCCTTACTGCCAAAAGATAAGCTCTCAGGAAAGGGGCTGTGCCTGTGGACTCAGTTGTATTTCCCAAATAACCTTGGCCAAATGTCTATGTCACATTTGTGACAAAGTATTTCCATGTCAGGGAAGCCAAGTTTTTACTAATTTTACTTATATAACAAATGCAAAATAAGAGTTCCTCCTTTGCTAGTCCTAAGTTAATTTTCACATATCAACTATTCAATTTTCTTTAGTATTACCTAGATGTGAAAAGACTAATTCCAAAAAGGGAGGTTTTTTCCTGTGGTGGCCAGTTAGCTTTGAAGTCTACTTCCAATGCTTTGTGCTCCAACCAGCTCTAGACAATACTATAAAGGAGGCAAGAAAGACCAGGCACTGGGGAGCAACTTTTCAAATACTTCCTAGCTTCTGTGGGTTGAGCTTGAGCGTGTACACCCATGGAGATTTGCTAACAGGCTTGCCAAGTGGTGTCTAACCACAGTGCATTAGCTGGCCCCTCACAGAGATCTTTACTGCACAAGCACACCCATAAAGCTCCGGAAACCCTGACTCAGAACCTACAATCTCACCACCCACCACAAAGTCAGTGTAGCTTTGAGTTTGCTAAGAATGCCTCCAGCCTACCTGCAAAACGGGGTTTTCCCTAAGAATGTACAACCAAATTATCTTCAATTGGGAGAAGATTCAAGGAATCTAAACATTTTCCTTCAACATCCACACACTTGAATGCTTCTGCCCTGCTTGCCACTCCACCCCATTTTTTTCAGACAGGGCATTGCTTTCGCCTAGGCTGGAATCAAACTCATGATCCTCTTACCTCAGTTTGCCATGTGCTGGGTCATAAGTGTGTGCCTAAATTCCTAGCAAGCCCCACTCTCTAATAGCTTCTCTCTCCGCAGCACCTATGCGAGCACACACACACACACACACACACACACACACGACATCAATAATTTGGAAGCACTAGATAGTATGATTAAGAAGCTGAAAACTGTCATCACCAAGTATCACTTAGTAATTAAAACATCAAACATAAATTCATTTTATCCTAAAGGCATCAACATTTATAAATACCACTACAAGCCCCTCAAAGGCAGCCTTTAACACATAAACAGCTATCTGTACTTTTTTATTAGCTCGGGGCTTTTTGCTTACACATTTATTTTTTGTTGTGGGGAGTAGTTTTTTTGAGATGGCATTTTACCCTGTAGCCCAGACTGAAACACAAAGCCATCCTCCTGTTTCGTGCCTCTGGAATGTTAGGATTACCAGAGATGTCACACCCATAGCCCAGTATTTACCAAATAAAATTCCCACCCCAATTCTGTCAACTGTTGAACAGATATTAAGAGAGGCTTTTCATGGAGGGTTTAGAATGTGTCAGGCCTTACAGCCTAGGACACACATCCAAACAAGCAGTGAGGTCCGGAAAGCTTGACTATCCAAAAAAGGATGACTATCCAAAAAAGCATTTTAGAAACTGGAGAGATGGCTAATATGGGTGAAAGCACTTTACTCAGCATGAGAATCTGACTTTGATCCCCAACACCCACCTAAAAAGTTTAGCATGTCTGCAACTAAATGGCAAGCTCTGAGTTCAGTGAGAGACTCAAAAACTAAGGTGAAGAGGGACTGAAGAAGACACCTGACAACATCCTCCATCCTCCACTTGTGCACAACATGACATACACATGTGCATATGTAACACGGTAGGGGCAGTGGCTGTGTACCATCTCTGCGAAAATAAAGCTACAGAGTTCATTCAGAGCATTATTTTATTCTCCAAAAGTACAAGAAACCCAAGACTCCATTACTAAAGGACTGGAAAGACAGCATGTATATACACACACATGCACACACTAACATGCTTAGATAGCCTTACACTCTGTATACATAGCTGAGGCTGTCCTTGAACTCCTGATCCTCCTGTCACTATTCCTGAGTCCTGGAATCACAGATGTACAACACCACACCACTTCAGGGATGAACCTTGAGGTCACTATGTTAAGTGAACCGAAGCAGTCACAAAAGGAAAAGTACTGTAAGATAACACTTACAAGAGGCCAGGGTCAGAGTCACAGAGATGGAAAGAACGGTGGGTGCTGGGATCAGCAGGGTGGATAGGTCAAGCAGTTAACAGTTACACATTTTCAGGGTTTTTTTTTCCTTTCTTTCTTTCTTTCTTTTTTTTTTTTGGGGGGGGGGGTTGGGGAGGGCTGAGGGAGGGTCTTACACGGTAGCTCAAGCTGGTCAAAAGACTTGCACCAATCCTCTAGCCTCTGCCTCTGGCCTCTACCTCCACAGTGGTGGGATTAGTTATCCAACACCACACTGGATTCTACAGTGAAAAGCTCTGCTTATGGATGGTGGTGATGGCAACTCAATGTGAAATGTCCTTAATGCCTAGGACCAATACACTTAAAAAGGTTAAAACATTACCAAATAGTCGTCATTATTACAATAAGTAACATGGACATGTTTATCCGTAATGTGATTTAAACACAACATCTGCTAAGTTTGTACTATCACTAAGCAAGCTTTATATACCTCAGGACCATAAGTGCTTTGAAATACCCTTAAACTTTGGCGGGGGGGGTAATGTACTGTATTAGCATTAAAGGCCCC